CATCGGTCGAGGTGGGTCAGCGCTGGAAGCGACTAACGGGCACCCACCTCGACTGCGGCCTCCCCTCCCCACGAGGGACACCTCAACTTTGTGACCCCGGTGTCCCGGACCTCAGCTGACCAAGACGCCCCACTGGGCAGTCCCGCCGAAAATGGTCAGGAGCACCACACCCGTAACACCCGCTAGTTTTGGACGTATCAGGGCTGAAACGAGCAACAGTGAGTGCCTCCAAGGACGACTGCAGCTGCCCAACCTCCTGTTGAAGCTGACTTACTGTGTCCTGGAGCATCGCGCGCTCAGTTTCGGCGTCACGCTAGGCTAATGCTACCGACCCACTCGATGTTCGTTCCGTATCAGTGTTTCCTCCTTTATGTTTCAATAACTTTTACCTGTCTCATACAGGGGCCGCGCATAGTCGAGTGCGGCACCATCCAACAGAGGCAATAGCCGTTTACCCTATCAAAAAAGCACGACGCTGTCTCACAGGCTAACCGCCTGCGATACTACTCAGTCTCTAAATAATAATAATAAATAATCAAGGCTAACCGCCCCGAAAAATGCCTGCGGTAACCCTACCGTCCCCTCATCCACCACTGATCCGAGCAGACCGCTCGGCTCCGGCCATTAGTTAATCGGCTACAGTCTAAACACAATCATGCCAAACGATAATAACACAACAGACTCACCGTTGCCGTCGCCGGTCCTACCGACCGCGCCAAATATTGCGGGAGCTGAACACACTCAGACTCGATGCTTTACTGTATTATCGGCAGAGGCCCAAACAAGAACCACAGAGCCAACCACTCGTAACCACGGTCTCCCTGCCTCTCCCGGGCCGCCGACCGCCCAGCCAGCGCCAGCCCTCGACCCCGCCCGAGGGCCACGCGGCAGGGGCGGCGCCGGGCGCGGCCAGCCGGGGAGGCGCCACGGGCGGCGCCAGGCATGCCACAACGGGCGGTCACAGCCGCCCGTAACAATACTATGATGACGTCATTGGTGGCAGCAGGCACCCAAATGTCCGTGCAATGAGACAAGTGTCAACAAATTTGGGTGAAGCTTAGTTTTTCACTGTTGCCGTGCTTATAATCGAGTAAGCGGTTCCGTCCATGATAGTTATACGTTACCTTGCAATACATGTTCGACAGCATGACGTCACCACTGTTCTCCTATCTGGTTCCAAAACGCACATATGGAAATTATCGGGAAGAAAACACATGTTAAAATAAGTCGACGCTCGATTTTCTCAGGTTCAGTTTTTGCTCGTTTTGCTCGCTAAAACACGTGCTTGTTCGAAAAACCTACTTGGAGCCAGCGTCCTTTTGAAAAAAAAAAACGAACTATACCTAGCCCTATAAGAGTATCAGCATAAAAAACAGCCCACATCATTCATCAATGATGATAGGTACATAGTTACATGCTGTTGCCATCCTCACTTAGAGCCCCCGCCCAGGCGTTGATGTCTCCTGTCTCCTCTCCCGGTCCCGTTTGTCGTCCGCTCTCCCAGTTCCGGTCGCCTCGGACCCACCCGTGTCGCACCAAACCCTGCATAGTTACCTGAGAGAACACGTGTTCCCACCGACCGATCTGCGTCATTCCACCCACCAACCAAACTGGTTTCCCGAGATAGGAGTGGGCCGGATCGCACAACGGATCTTTTTCGTTGCTATTTGAGGCCTGCTTGACTAAGTGGAGCAGATTGGGGGGGAGCATTCATTCTGGCCAGGGTTCATAATGTCCAGGGTACGATATGCCCAGTGTCGAAATGGCCAGTGCCTTGAATGGGCCAGAGTTCATAATGTCCAGGGGTTGCATGGTCCAAATGCGGCCAACTGGCTGCAGAAAGGGTATATTCAAAGAGGCCAGGGTTCATAATGTCCAGGGCACGATGTGTCCAGTGTTCGAAATGGCCAGGGTTCATAATGTCCAGGGCACGATGTGTCCAGTGTTCGAAATGGCCAGGGTTCATAATGTCCAGGGCACGATGTGTCCAGTGTTCAAAATGGCCAGTGCCTTGAATGGGCCAGAGTTCATAATGTCCAGGGATTACATAGTCACTGAAAGTGAGGTCATTATGTAAAAAACACGGAACCAGCTCAATGCGAAGCAGTGCAGTGCCGAAGGCAATGCCTTAGGAGAGATTACAGGCAATAGTAAATCAAATATTTTTAGGTTAAGTGGTTATGTATCTGACTTCAGGCCGAAGGCCTGAAGCCTGATGCATAACCACTTAACCTAAAAATATTTGATTTACTATTGCTTGCAATCTATTCATTCGAGAAACTATTTCCTTATCCCTGGTAGGCAAACATCATTACCTTAGGTTAGATTAGGTTAGGTTAGGTTAGGTTAGGTTAGGTTAGGTTAGGTTAGGTTAGGTTAGGTTAGGTTAGGTTAGGTTAGGTTAGGTTAGGTTAGGTTTGGTTGGGTTGGGTTGACTATGTAATCCCTGGACATTATGAACTCTGGCCCATTCAAGGCACTGGCCATTTTAAACACTGGACACATCGTGCCCTGGACATTATGAACACTGGCCATTTCGAACACTGGACACATCGTGCCCTGGACATTATGAACCCTGGCCATTTCGAACACTGGACACATCGTGCCCTGGACATTATGAACCCTGGCCTCTTTGAATTTACACTATCTGCAGCCAGTTGGCCACATTTGGACCATGTAATCCCTGGACAATGTGAACACTGGCCAATTCAGGGCACTGTCCATTTCGAGCACTGGACACATTGTGCCCTGGACATTATGAACCCTGGCCTAAATAATACGCACCCAGATTGGGAATGAAAGACACGTTTTAGGAGGTGAAACATCATTCGAAAGCCATTGAACTATTCTAGTATAGGTCAATGCTGAAAGCTGCGTTTGACGCAGTGTCTGTCTTGCTGGGAGTGGGACATTTCGTTATTGGAACTGTTTCAGCACCAACGGCGCAGCTTGCGAGAGTTCTAAAAAAAGACAGACGCTTTTTTTCGGAAAAAATATAATCATCATACCAAGAATAATATGCGATCAACTGGAAGCCAATGCGATGCTGTTCTGTGCGATGCTAGTTTTACTCACATTCACTAATGCAGGCATATTAGTATTAGTATGTAGGACGTAAGACCAAAAGACTACCCTAATACTTCGAGGCAAGATATATTGAGGTATAGCCGGCAAGAATTCTAAAGAGTCCTTTACTCATCCACAAAGCACCACCAATAAGTGTAACTTTGGGCTGGAGTAGACATTTTCAATAAAGGGAAGCGGCCCAAACTTGCATACAAGGCAAGAAGTGGACGAAAAAAAAAAACAGAACATATCTGGGAGGGCACGAGCTCTGGATCATCTTGGCTTGAAAATACATAAGGAAATCGGTCTAAGCGGGAGACAATTAACGCCCAGCAAGCATAGGAGTGCTGTCCAGGTTTAAGACGGCGCTGAAGAAAAGCTAGGAGGTGACGTCCGGCTGATAGAGGGCCAAGCTTTGGCCTTGGGCCAAGCCAAAGGATGCAGCGGAACGGAGTAGTCATACTCGTACAAACGGCCAATGCAACCCGTGAACGCGCTTCGGGGAGCGGCCGCTCTCTCGGCTGGAGGTGAACTCATGACCCGTACATTATTCGGATCTCAAGACCTAGATTTCTGAAATTGGGGACATCTCACCATCCAAGTGCACCGAATGAATAGGAAAACAGACCATCAATGAGCTGAAGGAGTAAGAAAAGTGCGGTTCGGGTTAAATCACCATGCCTGGCAGTTGTTGATTGGTCTAGGCAAAAATATTATGCTTGTTTTCAGCTGACGACGGTTTGATCGACTTGACATACCATCATAAAACAGTCTTCCCATTGACGTTTCGCAAAAAAAAAAAAATTAAAGAAAAAACCTCAATTAGTTCCGCAAATGCGCTGAAAACTACCTAGTAGTTGAAGCTGTTCCGAAAATATGAAATTGGTAAGAAGCTAGCAATGGACTTAATTGCTGCCATAGCCGAGTGAATAATTTTGCTCATGATTCATGAACGTGACACCATCGGGCTAAGGTCACCGAATGCCAATGGCACTTTATCCCTGCCGGCTTCCGCGGAGGCCCTTTCATTGTTCGGGTTCTGATAAAATTTTGGAGATTAGTATGAAAACAGTGCTATGTAAGTTTTATTACGGAGCGAGCGAAGCGAGCGTAGTCTTTCCTTAGATTAACGGAAATTTCTGAGTATGAGCGGCCGGCCGGCCGGCCGGCCGGCCGTGGTCACGCTTTTGCGAGGCTTATATCTCAGCAACCACTTGGCCGATTTACACGCGGTAATTTTTGTAGGGTAGCTTCATTCCTTTTACCAAGTATTGGACTATTCCCGATGCATGTGGGTGACCCCTTATGCACGTGCCACGTGCAAAACGAAGAGGTGTCACTTTTGTAATTGTTGCAATATCTCCGTAACTACTTGGCCGATTGCGCTGAAAGTTGGCATGTAGGTAGGCACCCACTAGGCAATGCATATCAATGTGCCAGAGTTGGGGTGCTGCACGTGCGCACGTGCAGGGGTCGATTACAGATCTCGAGAACGGCTGGACCGATGGCGCTCAAATTTGGTGCATGGTTAGGGACCGGTTAGTAGGGTGCCGTGCAAAAGTCAGTTGGGACCCATTTTGCACGTGCGCACGTGCAGGGTGCCGCTTCCAGATCTCGAGAACGGCTGGACCGATTGTGCTCAAATTCGGCACATCGCTAGAGACCGGTTAGTAGGGTACCGTGCACAAGTCAACTGGAGGTACCCCCTTGAAATTTCGCACGTGCAAGGCTCACCCTCTCGCTCGCTCCGTTAGTCGCCCCAAAAGGCGTTATACTGGTCTTATCAGCTTGTTATATGGCCTTGCATCAGCTTTTTCTGGTGAGTTTTCGAAGGAGAGTGCACGAGTCTTATAATCTCGGCTGGAAGTGACGTTCATTGAAAAACGAGGGTATATAATAGTTTTCCATTATGCATAACATCTCTAATAAATACATTTTACGTTTATGTGTTATCATATATATTATCACAATAATACCAGTACACATGGGGCGTTTGAAGCGCCACCCAATAAACAAACAACATCACATCACGCAGTAACAGTTCATGAGATGTTTGCAGAAGAGTAGTTACCAATGTCCATTCTATGGAGACGTTTTTGCCACCGGGTTTCGTTTCATCACACTTGGTTCCGTCGCACACAATGGCATCACAGCATCACAGTTAGCACACCCGTGTTCCGTCTATACTGCAGGTGGCAGGTACGAGTTATTCAGCACCGGCGGCAGGTACTTGGACGGCAGCTTCCGCGCAGGAGGGAGATACGCCTTGGGAGGGTCGACCGGGGGAAGGTAGGTCTTAGGAGGATCAACGGGAGGAGGAAGGTAAGCCTTAGGAGGATCCACGGGAGGAAGGTAAGCCTTAGGAGGATCCACGGGAGGGAGGTAAGTTTTGGGAGGATCCACGGGAGGAAGGTAAGTTTTGGGAGGATCCACGGGAGGGAGGTAAGCTTTGGGAGGGTCTACGGGAGGGAGGTAAGTTTTGGGAGGATCCACGGGAGGGAGGTAAGTTTTAGGAGGATCCACGGGAGGGAGGTAAGTTTTGGGAGGATCCACGGGAGGGAGGTAAGTTTTAGGAGGATCCACGGGAGGAAGGTAAGTTTTGGGAGGGTCTACGGGAGGGAGGTAAGTTTTAGGAGGATCCACGGGAGGGAGGTAAGTTTTGGGAGGATCCACGGGAGGTAGGTAAGTTTTGGGAGGGTCCACAGGAGGGAGATAGTTCTTAGGAGGATCCACTGGCGGCGGCAGGTAGCCGTTCGGCGGGTCGGTGGCCTTTGGCGGCGGCAGGTACTCCCGGGAAGGCGGCAGGTAGCCACCGGGCAGAGTCAGCTCGGTCTGCTTCTGCGGCTCGTGGGGGTGCGGGTGCGGCTCGTGGCTGTGTGAACCTCCACTGTGGGGTAGCAGTGCTCCCCAGCAGCCAGCAGCCAGCATCAGTAGTCCTGCGGCCACCTGTAAACACACGAGCACGGAGTGAGAGAGTGCGAGGGCACCCCTGGAAAAGTAAGCCGATAACCTATGACTAAATATTGATTCTTGTTTTAACTAAAACAAAATTTGTGTATTTTTCTGCTTCACATTGTTCAATAAAGAGACTGTTTCTTTTTACTTATTCTGATCTAAAAAGATGCTCGTTTTGCCCTTAGCCGAATCCGTATTTTCAAATTTGATGACGTATCGATTACATTTTGTAAGGTTACAAAAGCGCTCAATTAATATTTTCAGCAATTTTGGAAATACCTAATGACATATTGAATTTATTGGCCGAACAAGGCTAAGTTACCGACCATGCTCTCCACTGTAGCGTGTTGCACCTACCTTCATGACTGCGTCCGATCCGAGTGAATGCCGAAAAGCACACCGAGTCCGCGAGTGACCGTCCCGGTCCGCGATCCAGATGGAAGCCCGCTCCGGGCCGCACGGTGACCTTCACTAAACAGTCGGCACTGCGCCGGCGACTTTATACCGACCTGCAACGGCATGCTCTGGAAAGCCCGCCCCCTGTGACGTGCCGCTGCCGCCCCCGGCCGGCCGACCGGCCCCCACGAGCGGCTGCGCGCTGACCGGCCGCGCGCCGCGGGGTCAGCCCGCAGTCGACGCCGCCACGCGCTGAAGGTCGGGCGGCACGCGACGAAGGCCGGACACTGACCTGCCGTCCGCGGCACGCCTTCTAATCCAGTCCGGAAGCAGGAAACGGTTCAGTCTGCAGCCGAAAGGTAGCCGCTATGGACGATCTCACTGACCTTTTTATTGAGAACCTCGATGAGTGATTGACCCCGGCAATGGCTGCTGCACTATCGACTCGGTTCCAGTGCTTTGTCCGAAGTGCGCTACCTTTTGACTTTGTTTTGACGCAGCATAAGAGCTTTGGATAGCCTAAATTTTACGGTGTTTTAACCCTCGCATGTGTGCGGCGTTTGCCAGCTTCTAATGTGTAGGGGGGGGGGGGTCGGTTGGACCCCCCCTTGCCGTTTGGCCCCTGATCGAGCTAGAGCTTCGCTGAAAAAACGAGTGTGTTGCCCGTGACGAGAGGAAGCCGATGATACCCAATTTTAAGATCCTAGGTCATTGGTTGACCCTCCAGGTCAGGTCAATGACCCAAACTCGGGAAAATCGGGACCTGTTAGAAAGTCGTAAAGTGTGGCTGCTAAGGGTTTTTTCGGGGTCCTGATCACGAATATCGTGTTAGTTTTGATCACAGATGATGTATTTAAGCATTTAGACCAGGTCGGGTCAGGTCAGGTCAGGTCAACCAGTAGGCGTCGTGACGGGAATTCGTAGTACGTGTCAACCGCCTCTGACAGCTTCGTAACATGTTACGAAGTCACCAAAACTACTTCGTAAATGTTCAAATGGTTGCTAAATTCGAATTCAGCTCCAAAAACTAGCCTAGAAACATGTAAAACTCGAAAAAGTGAACCGAGGTCACCCGAGGTCACCAAAGGTCAATGACCTGACTTGACCTTCAGGTGACCTTGACACCCACCCTAATGTATGGGAGTAGCATCAAATCACATGTTTGAACGTTTGAAACCACGAAAAGCTTGCAAACGCGCGGCTAATGCGAGCCGACATACGCGAAATCGCGATTCCGGCCAAACATGGTCTCGGAAAAGAGGTCACAGGTCAAAGGTCATTTGGGTCAGGGTCATGAAATTTTCAGGGTAAATGTAAAATTGATCAATGCGAGGGTACTGAAAGTTTCGTCGCGATCGGCCGCTTTTTACGCGAGTTATTCACGAAAAACCATGGGGGGGGTCCATCCGACCCCCCCCCCCCTACACATGCGAGGGTTAACGTTGAGCTTGTGCCTCGCATCGATAGTGCCTTCTTGTGCCGTAAACAAATCGTTTCTCATGTCCTGCAAGTGTGTATCATATTTGTTCATCCATAGACCACTACACATATATGCATAGTGGTCTGGATATATAATGTTCTATGGTCCATTCTTTGCGAGTGTTTGGAACATCTCATTTCATGGAAATGGACGGGTTTTTGTGTCCGCTCAGTGTGCAAGAGACAGACAAATTGTTGACATCGGCGACGGTTCCGATAAGCGTGTTTGGTGCACAGAAGGACAGGAGGCCAGGCCAAACGATGCGGCAGATGAAGTGTAGGTACACCTTTTCTGAACACGAGGAACATCTGGACTCTGGAGCCTCACTGGTTTTGTCCAGACCCTGCGCTCTCACGGTAAAACAAAGCATTCTCGTTATGCAGAGAAATTTCCCATAATCTGTCTGCCGACAATTGAAAACTTCAGGTGTAAGCCGCTCAACATGAGCCAGTCCTTTCTATATGAAACTCTTCTATGGCGTTGTGATGTGACCGTCCTGGACCGACCATCCGGCCGGTGTCGGCCTTTGTATTCAGCGGTATTAGCCGTTCAGCCGGACTGCGATTTCCCTCTGGCACACGCGATCGGCTTCATCAGGCTTAGCCGACATGGCACGAACCTCTCATGTTTCAGAGAGACATCATCTGACTGTGAAGCTGGGCGCTCTGGTCGGTCTAGAATTCAGATCCAAGACCGACGCTCTACGGGACTGGGCAAAAACTAGAACGTTTTCTCCTAAATCTCGTTTTGAGATTTTTCGAAGCATCATTCATCCTACTCTTACACACTTGGATGTTTTCTGCTTTCTCTTCCAGGCCAGAGTATGTCAGCAACATGGTCAATGGTGTGGCTACAAGGTGTTTCAAGCGTAGGTCACGATGTAGGCACTGCTCTTGCGTGTCCGCGGTTATACCTATAGGTACTCTGTAGGTACCTTGTCTTTACCTATCGGTGAACTGACTAGTGTTTGAAAAGTTACACTGTCCTTTCATTTTCATATTTAGTTGCAAAATTGGACATACGGCAACAGCAGCACTCATCACCACTCGGCACTCATCGAGTGGGTAGGGGAGAGTGGGGAAAGATGCCCAGGGTTTTACTATGTCATATAGTATTCGAAAATGACGATCGGAAAGCAAAAACTTGGAGTTTCAACGGAAACCGACATCATTTTTCTCCAAAAATATCACACTTTCGTGCCTGAAATATGGTAACTTTTTTTGCTATTAAGCATTTTCCTGAAGAAGTGAAAGGGGGCATCTTACCCCACAGGGTGGGAAAGACGCCCCCTGGCGTTGGGGAAGATGCCCCCTGCACTATAAGTGACATAAATGGGCACGTGAATCGCCTGAACGAATCAGTAGTCCCTTCGAGCCTGCAGTAGACACCAAACGTCATCGTAAGGGCCCTCAAAAGTAGTCGTAAGGGGCTTCAGAGGTCATCGTTAGGGCCATCATAGTCCAGCGCGGCCAAACAAGCCTCCGTGGTGGCGTTCGGAGACCACTGTGGGGCCCTTATAGGTCTTCATGATGCTTAAGGGCCCTCGAGCCCATCGTGGGGACCTTAGATGCCAGCGCGGCCCGTGGAGCCAACGTGGGAGCCCTCAAAGAATGTCGTGAGGGGCCCTGGAGCCAATAATGGGGCCCACAGAGGCCGTCGTGAGGGCTCTCAGGGTCAGATGCCGCCCAAAAAGTCGCTGTGTGGGCCGAGAGACCGGCATGGGGAGCACCCGACCGTACTGGACTCTCAATAGTCTCAGATCGGCTTTTGTCTCTCATCACAAGTATGCAATAAATGATTTGACGGGCTGCTTGAAGGACAGCCTACGGATTTAGGGGGGGGGGCGTCTTTCCCCATCAGGACAGGGGGCATCTTACCCCAAGGTACCGAAGTAACATTAAATCAGTACAATTTGTTAGCCATAAAACTACACCCTGAAACAAACTGTTTGGGACACAATACACGCATGTTAATGTATCTTGACTATAGCAACTGGACGCAAAAATTATCTACCTTCTTTGATATTTACAATGTTTTGACACCTAAATATTTTTTGAAAGCAGCAAATAAAAAACATGCAATCACCAGCCAGCCGTTGTCCAACTGAGCTTCGCAAATTTTTGTGCAGTTAACAAGGCAGGCTTCCGCTTTACGCTAAGAACATTAATTTCCAGGTTCGATTCTTTGTTTCGCCGCTAGAGGGGGTGGGGCGTCTTTCCCACCCTGGGCATCTTACCCCACTCTCCCCTATATTCATCCCGATATTTTTATATGCATGTAAATGACTTCAAGGTTTCTGAGGCGATGGTAGTTGACCTCAAATCCGGGTCTCATGATACATTCCTTGTAACATTTGTTGAAAAAAAAACTAGGAATTATTAGGTATATGCTAGGTCCTGTAAGTTTCATCTCTCTGTGAAAGCTGCCCTGGCGATAGGGCGCTGCGAAGCTGCGACATTTTTGGACCGTGCAGAGGCTTACTTATGACGTCAAAGGTCAGTGACCTTAAAGGATCATATTCAGTCAGCAAAAGGTTGATAGATATTATAAATATTACTCCTGAATGATTTCAACCACAAATACCGAAGTCCGAAAATATTGTGACGTCATAGGAACAGTCGCTACTTTTTCAGTCATTCAAATGGCTATATCTCATGCAGTTTTAGAGATATTTTGTTACTTTTTGGCATGTGTAAGGCCAGTAAGGGGTTCTCAAACATATAATCCGTTTTTTTTAAATTACCCCAAATTTCCAAAACATTTCAAGAAATCTAAATTTTGAGTTAGAAAATCTCTAGATCTAGATATTTTTACATTTTGGAAATTTCGAGATAGCCATTTTGTTTGCCATGCTTTTTATACCTACGGTCGAATTTTTCAGTCGCTAAGTTGAAACCCTGATTTTCTGCGATTTTTCTCCGTGAACAACTTTTTCGACGAAAAAAACGCCGAACATGACCTCATTTTGACCTCTATAGCTCGTGACCTGAGGTGACCTGGGACCTATTTTTTCTCAGAAGATGTGAAAAATTGATGTCCGGAGAGGTACTGAAAGTTTCAAGTCAAAATTCGCAGCTGTTTCAGAGTTATTTTTGAAAAACCACAGGGGGGGGCCTTTGCCCTCCCCCCAACGGGTCGCGGGTTAATGTACTGGAGCTGACATCATTCTTCCTTTCGGTAGGAAGACGATGGACGACATACAGTTCCGCTCAGCCGCTCACGAGGTGATAGACTATATCCTCCAGTACCAGCGGACGGTGCGGGATCGGCCAGTACTGCCCTCTGTGGAGCCCGGCTACCTGCGCCGGCTGGTGCCCTCCGAGGCGCCACCTACGCCCGATCGCTGGGCAGATGTGCTGGCAGACATGGAGCGGGTCATTCAACCGGGCATGACCCACTGGCACTCGCCGCACTTCCACGCCTTCTGTCCGCTGGCCAACTCTCCGCCGGCGCTGCTGGCAGAGATGCTGGCGCACGGCCTCAGCTGCGTGGGCCTCAGCTGGGAGGCGGCGCCGGCCTGTCTCGAGCTCGAGGTGGTCGTGCTAGACTGGCTGGTGCGCCTGCTGGGTCTGCCTAAACACTTTCTGTCCCAGTCAGGCGCTGGAGGCGGCGTCATCACCGGCTCTGCCACCGAGGGCGTCCTCCTGACCATTACAGCTGCCCGTGAGAGGGCGCTGAAGGACCTACGCCGGGACCAGCCCGACCTGGACGAGGCGACTGCGCGCGGCCGGCTGGTGGCCTTCGCCTCCGCCCAGGCAAACCCGGCCGTTTTCAAGGCAGCTGCCTCGGTTGCAGTGCGCATACGCGTCCTGCCGACTGACGATGACTGCCGCCTGCGGGGAGATACTCTGCAGGCCGCCGTGGAGGAGGAACTGGCCGC